GCTTTGCCTAGGTTTTCTTCTAGATTTTTTTATGGCATTAGGTCTTATGTTTAGTTCTTTAATCCACCTGGAGTTAATTCTAATGTAAGGTGTCAGGAAGAGGTCCAGTTTCTGCTTTCTGCACACTGCTAGCGAGTTTTACCAACACCATTTATTAAACAGGGAATCCTTTCCTCATTGCTTGTTTTTGTCAGGTTTGTCAAAGATCAGAGGGTTGTAGATGTGTGGCATTGCCACCAGGAACTCTGTTCTGTTCCATTGGTCTATTTCTCTGTTTTGGTACCAGTATTATGCTGTTTTGATTACTGTAGCTTTGTAGTATAGTTCGAAATCAGGTAGCATGATGCCTCCCACTTTGTTCTTTTCGGTTAGGATTGTCTTGGCTGTGGGGGCTCTCTTTGGTTCCATATGAAGTTTAAGGTGGTTTTTCCCAGTTCTGTGAGGAAAGTCATTAGTAGTTTATGGGGACAGCACTGAATCTATAAATTACTTGGGGCAGTATGGCCATTTTCATGATATTGATTCTTTCTAAAAATACTGATTGCTTCACGAATATGCATGTCATCCTTGGGCAGTGGCCATGATAATCTTCTCTGAATCATTTCAATTTTAATATATGTGCTGCCAAGGCAAGCACCGGTAAGATTCCTTATACTGGCTATATTACATGTTAGCTCCTGCGATGTTTTACAATGATTTTTGGCTTCCTTGCATTGGATCATGACATACTTCTTTCACTCAGTGAACTTTGTTTCTACCCACATTCTGAATTCTACTTGTATCATTTCAGACATGTCAGCCTCTGGCCAGTTCTGAAAACTTCAACAGGCTGAACAGTTGATGTAATCATCTGGAGGAAAGAAGTCATGCTGACTTTTTGAGTTTTCAGTGTTCTTGCACAGATTCTTCCTCATCTTTATGAGCTTATTCACCTTCAACCTTTGAGGTTGCTGACCTGTGCACAGGGTATTTTTCTTTTATTATATTTGATGACCTTGAGGGTTTGATTGTGGTGTAAGGTAGATTCAGCCAACTGGCTTTGGTTTTGGAGAACTTTAGGGGGCCAACATTCATCTCCCAATTCCTGGACTGTGTGCTTTAACTCTGGGAAACTTGTATTGTGTCTCAACTTTGTTCTCTGGCTCCTCGAAGTCTGGAGTGGACTGCGCTGAAGGCACCAAAGTGTGGCAGCTGTGGCAGAGTGCTAGCAGATGCAAAAGTGCCTGCCTCCCTGTGCTCATTCACGCAGTGCTGGAGGCAAGACAGCTTGGGTGTGGGCCAGGGGACCCCTGCTGTGTGTGCTGTTGCACTGGAGGTAGTGTTGGTTCAGGGTGGGGTGCTGGCCTGTGCAGGTCTGGGTGCCTTCTCTGTGACCCCCTAAGCAGCAGTGGTCACTCAAGGTATATTAGGGTCTCTTTTTTGTGCACAGCATTAGCTCAAGGGTAAGGTGCTGGCAGGGGTGGTGCTTTTGGTTCCGTGCTCACGGTGGCTCTCTCTTCAATGGCAGTTGGTGTGGGTTGAAGTGTGCGTTACAGTCCCATGTACTGGTAGAGCAAGTACAGCAAAATCCACTCATGTAAACACACACCAGCAAAGCAATGTAGGAGGTTTGTGTATAAAGAGCTGCAGTATGGAGAGGCAATGTAGAGGCTGGTGAGTGCCTGCAGGGGTCACGTTGCTGCATCTCTCCACTGCTAAGGCATGGTCCACTGGCACAGAAGCAAAGGTGTGGGCACCTGAGAGTGCCCTGTAGGCAGGTGTGGCCAGGCTGGGGCCCTGGGAGAGGCAAGCAGACTAAGGAGTGCTGAGGTCAGACCAGCTTCATCTCATGTGCAAGAATG